AGGGCGCCGTCGTCGAGGAGGCGCCCTTTGACCACGTCACTCTGGACGCGTTGGAGGCCGCGCTGCCGGCTTTCACGGGCGACATCCGCCAGACGCCGCCGATGTACAGCGCGCTCCACCACGAGGGCAAGCGCCTCTACGAGCTCGCGCGCGAGGGCATCGAGGTCGAGCGCGAGAGCCGGCCCGTGACCATCTCGAGGCTCGCGCTCGACGATCGCGGCGTCGGCGCCGTCGCGGGGCCGCTCGGTCTGCCGCACTTCGGCCTCGACGTCGAGTGCTCCGGCGGCACCTACATCCGCACGCTCATCAGCGACCTCGCGCGCCACGAGGCCGTGAAGTCCGTGGCCCACATGGTCGAGCTCGAGCGCACGAAGCAGGGGCCCTTCGAGCTCGGCGACTGCCTCCACGAGGCCGACTGGGACTTCGACGCGATCTGCCAGCATTTGGTGGACTCGGCGGCCATACCGGCGCGAGTGTCCTAAACGAACCGAGCTGACGATAAACACAAAAAGGGGCGGGGGGCCTACTGGATGACGCCGAACGTGTCGTGGCGCTGCGAGTCGCGCGCGCGGAGCGGCTGCGGCAGGGAGAGGTTGTTGGCGATGCGGTTGAGCATGGCCGTGGTGACCTTGATGTCCATGGCGCGGCCCGGGAGCCCCGCGTCGCCGAGCGCCGCGCGGACGCCCGCGCGCGACTCGTCGAGCGACGCCTCGCCCGGCTTGGACGACCGGCGCCGCTCGTCGGACGCGGTGCGCTTGCGGTGGCCCTCGTCGGCCTCGTCGCTCGTCAGCGCCGCCAGGAGGCTGAAGGTCATGTCCGGCCGCTCGCAGACCGCGAGCACGTGGGGCTCGAGCGTCGCGAGCATCGCGAGCGCGACTCGATGGACGACCTTCCAGTTCCGCTCGAAGAGGAGGACCGTCCACGCGCGGTCCAGCGACGCCGTCGCCAGCACGTCCACGTAGACGAAGAGGGTCTGGAGCCAGGACGCGGCGAACATCTCGAGCACGACGCCCTGCGCGCAGAGCTTCCGCGAGAGCTCGGGGCACCGCGCGTCCAACAGCAGCCGGAGCTCGAGGCACTTGCGCTTCAACAGCGGCAGGCCCGGCTCGAAGAGGCCGCGCAGGCCCAGGTCGTCCAAAAAGCAGTTCAACAACTTGTGGGCCCCGCGGGGGTCGAAGGCCGCGCCGCGCAGGCAGTACGCGGCGACGTAGTCCATGCCCTGGCAGTAGCCGACGTCGGGCCGCGCGCCCGCGATGGCCAGGCACACGTCGCGCAGCACGCCCCGGAAGGGCTCGAGCTGCGCCTTCGTCATGTCGCCCCAGGCCGGCGGCGGCGCGTCCTCCCGAAACCCCGGCGGCCACTCGTCCGGCGGCGCGGCGCCGCGCCAGAGCCGCCGCAGCGGCGTCCGCGCGACGTCGACGTCGACGGCGCCCGCGTGCCTGCCCGCGCGGCCCTGCTCCACGAGCTCCGCGAAGGGCTTGACGGCCGCGTTGCGCGCCGCCTCGGCCTTGTGCAAATTCAGGCTCTCGGCGATCGCGCGGCCGCGCGGGTCCGCCATCAGCCCGCCGTCGGCCGCGTTCTCCGGGTCGCCCATGGCGCCCGACGTGTCCAAAAAGTCGACGGCGGCGTCCTCGAGCGCGGACCCCAGGGGCCGCCGCCGCTTGTCCGCGAGGCTCAGCCAGAGGCCCGCGCACGCGACGCTTCCGGACGCGGGCACGGCGCCGAACCGCAGCGTCCACTTCCAGAGCTTGCGCCCGCGGCGGTCCCGCTCGAGCTTGGACCGCCACCGGCGGCAGACGACGCCGCAGAGGGCTAGAGTTTTGGAGCAGCCGCAGTGGGCCA